AGAACCGTTAGCATTAGCAGCTAACCTGAGAGTGAGAACCGTTAGCATTAGCAGCTAACCTGAGAGTCAGAACTGTTAGCATTATCAGCTAAGCTGAGAGTGAGAACCGTTAGCATTAGCAGCTAACCTGAGAGTGAGAACCGTTAGCATTAGCAGCTAACCTGAGAGTCAGAACTGTTAGCATTAGCAGCTAAGCTGAGAGTGAGAACCGTTAGCATTAGCAGCTAACCTGAGAGTGAGAACCGTTAGCATTAGCAGCTAACCTGAGAGTCAGAACCGTTAGCATTAGCAGCTAACCTGACAGGAACTTCCTGCAACTAGTAAAGTTATTTTTACCGTGTCACTCAGAAATGAAGAGTATCTTCCTGAAAACTGTTTTGTTGTGTTTTTGTTGTGTTTTGTTGTGTTTTAGAGCTCAGCAGCTCCGCTTGTGTCGAAGAGCAGCTCCTTATCCAAAGCGACTGGAGAAAAGTGAGGAGGTGGCTGATGCTCTGGAGAGGTACCGGTCCAAACTGATGACCTTAGGTTGAACTCTTATTAAACTGTGACACATTTAAAGCTTTATGTTGTGGTGATGTCTGTATTTTCACTGCTCAGGTCCAGTTCTGCTGCTGTGATGTAAATCTGACAGAATTAAAATAAAAGTTATTTTGTACCAGATAACTGGAATTTATCTACAATAACAGGAGAACTTTCTGCAGTTTGAAGTTAAACTCTTCTTGTTTTCTCTTTAAAGAAAAACGTTATAAAAACAGGACAGATGTGCAGTTGTTTTATTTTAATCTTTTAGTGACTCAGTGTTGTTTGTGTTTGTTGTAAAGAATAAAGTAACAACAGTAACACTATCATCACCTCTGACTTTGTACATGTGGCACAGGCTTTTCAACGTCTGTAAAACATGGAACTAAACTATTTAATCTGCAAAACCATTAGTCTTAATAACCCTATGAAGATATTTTATCAGGTTTAGTTCAACTTACCTATAAATGTTTGTAAAACAAGTAAATTATTGAAGTGACTCAGATCATTTTTTTCTTTTATCAATATAATTTAAATCATATTTTAACTGTTGAGTGACCCGTGGTGACGTCACAAACAGTACTCCAACCCACGGTGTTGGTATTTGGTGCTGCAGTGTTTGCATCCGTTTTACAGGATAAAAACAGTTTTTTAGGTTATCTGTAGTAAATGCAGGTTAGGGTTAGCATCTCAAGAATTTATCTTTGAATTCTGCTGAGATGAAAGTAAAACAACTTGAGAAATTAAAGGTACAGTAAGCTGTTATTTTTAAATTGATTTAATTTCTCAGAGTGCTCCACAAACAACCCTTTAAAACCACAGGTCTCCATAAACGGTTTCTGTTTTTCTTTTGTTTTTCTCTGTTAACAGCTGAACTACCGTATTTTTCAGACTATAAGCCCCACCCCCCATATCAGTAAAAACAAAAACAAAACAGTACGCCCAAAATTGTGGTCAAAAAAGTGAATTCAACATCACATTTTTTTTTAAGAAAAAAGGTTGGCAAGTTCACCGGTACAAAATAATGATGAT